CAATTGATTGGTTCATTTTTCCATGACCAATTTTATTTTATTTCGCCGGCTGCTCTTAAAGGTCAGGGTCAGACAGAGTGAAGTCCCTGGAGCAGGGAGGGAGTCGAGGACCTTTTTTAAAAAAGGAGATACTTCTAATTAGCGCTGGAGCCAAAGAGACTCTGTATCTCTTCTCAAAACAAATCAAGGTGACGCAACCCTTCTGCCTCAGATTTATTAAAATGACTGCTCTAATAACCACTTTCTCATTCAACGTTTCCTCTGTTATCTTTCGCGGTAGATCTTCTTTGCTCAATTAGTAACATAGGAGATTTGTTCCACTGGATCTTGTCCCAACATTAGTGCTGATGATGAATCAATCATTTTAGATGTAGCTATCAGAAAATAGAGTAATCCTCAGTGCCAGAGAGTGATGATAGATGCCAGCTGGTGCTGAAGAAGGTATTTCACACATCTGCTTTCAATACACTACTGTCCACTGTGTTCTCTCTCAGAGGATGGATTCCAACGGAGGTACCTTTTGGCTTATTAGCATCTGCTTTATTTGTTAGGATAAATATTATACACAAAGCCACCTATTCACAACAGCAGTAATTCCTTCGGTATAGGAACAGATCTTAATGTTTGGCAGTATTTAGTGCTTTGATTTGCGGTAATTGACTGTTTTAAGGCACCTATACTGCAAACTTGACTAAGTAGGGCCTCCTTGATGGTAAAGTTTGGGGAATTTAAGATAATATAAGGGATTAAATAAAATGTTGTTCTCCAAATGACATCTTCAAATGTCCCATTCGTTCAACAACTCAAAAACATAGTCATAGTTGAGTGAAAAAAGCAGAAAGTAATGACAAGATATTTTGTGCTTTACTTTTTTCAAGTAATCAAACCCACATCATTTTTACTAGATTGTTCATCATCAATGTCAATGCCATTCATTGCATTGTATATTCAAAGCAAATAAGATGAGTAAAATGTACAAAAGAACAATGAAGACGGCTGAAGGAAAAGTCACAGATCATGTTTGACTTCTTGCTCTCTGTTTTTCATTCTTCTTCGCACATGTTAAGTAACGTGAGCGCCCCTCTTGTTTAGCTTAAGATGCTCCTCTCTGCTTCTGCCTTTTCTCCAGCGGACATGACACTTGTGCAGGTTTTAGCGGAGAGATCTTGGGCAGGCACCACACTCGGTCTTAGACTCACTTTACAAACACTGGGATTCTTTTTACAGTGTGGACTCACGCCAGGTCACCCGCTAAACCACATGGTCAGGAAAACAACAAGGCTATCCAAGGATAGAAATCTCGTACGGACAAAGACAGAAGTGTTTGTAGATATATGGTAGGGCGGGTTTAATTATTGGATGTGTATGAATGAAGGAGAAGGAATAGAATCTGCCTCGTGTTGTAAGCAGCAGCCCACAAAAGTCACAATGTTTCTCCAGTCCGAGCGTGGATTTATGTCAGTATAAACACCATTTGTCTTGATTATATGGAAAGTGCAGCTGTTACATGGCATTATTATCAACATGCAGACTGTTAACATGCCTACAACAAGGATAATTCCTGGAATCAACCATTTATTCAGATTTAACTTTTACTTGCCTCGACAGCTGAGGGTCAGTTTGACCGGGTGAGTCTTACATGCTTTTGTGATCCAAAGTCATTTGTGTTTCTTCTCAGTTGTGACAGGGGAAGGGGTTGTTTGTACGGGTGTTGTTCAGGGTCACAACGCTCACCTGGCTATGAAAGAAATGCCTTCTTGTTCTAACAAGTCTCTGTTGTGTTGGGACCTTGACCGTCTGACAGACAACCTCCGGGGGCGATATGTTGGAGCACTCAGGTCTCACAGGTTAACAATTACACCACAAACACCAAGTCTTAACAGTGTCACAGTCTGTGTGTTCTAACCTTAAACCCACCCTTTGTGTCTCTTCATGGCCGAGCCGTGGTACACCCGCAGGTCGCTGTAGTTGGCCGCTCTCCCACTCTGGCTCACGAGTTTATACAAAGTTTACAGCTCCCTTTAGCTAATGGAAAGATGGGCAGTTTTGTGGACTAATATGGTCAAAGGAGGGCTTTGAATTACTTCATCCTTTCATGCTAGAATAGATGGTGAGTGTGAAGCCAAGCAGCTGCTGCGGAGGCCTCTGGTAGTCTATTTGGAAAAGTCAAGGATGTGTCAAAATAAATACACTAGTCGGTGTGCAAGGAAGGGTGGGCTGCTGTGTACTTTATCCCATGTGTGGCCCTAAGGCACCTTGTCCGTGTATTTTGCTAAAAGCTCTTTATTTATGAATATCTATTTGATGTATTTATTTAGAGAAGACTGACTATTCTGGTTATGGAATAAAGTTGGCTATTTTTTGTTTTGCTTGACAGTTTGCCCAATTGTTACTAGTTTGTTGGACACCAAGAGACACAAGGTTATATTGACTAATGTCTTGTGTGTCTGACAATCTGACCATTGCAACAAACTATCATTAACACATTTACCTTGGAACAAGATGTTAGGTGATTACCGGTATATTCATTTTCGCGATTTACTTATTTTGTTTTTGTTGGCATCAGCATATTAAAGAGCATTTAAAACAAAGGTTATGACAACTTAGAGGTTATATATATAAAAAGCCAGACAGATTCAAGATCTTCTGTTGGTTGGAAAAAGTCTCCAACAGCCCTAGTTGCTTTTCCAAATTTGAAAAGTACAGCTGCTGGATGGCAGATGGACCAAAAAATGGACTAAAATGGGAAAATTATGGCATCAAGCTTTATTTAGGTAGACCACAAAATGGATTTTTAGTGTCTCTACTTAGACAAAGTTGCCACAGGAAGTGTCCTCACTTTCCCTTTTTCCACTTTAGCTGTCCACTAACCATAGTGACACGCAATCTTCGAAAACAGTCACGTATGGTTGGTGCAACATGACCAGGTTACATTTTGACTGCATCACAGAGTAAATTATATATTTAGATGTATTTAAAACGTCCTGGTTCAGGACCCTTCATACAATTCTCTCTGGGCGCAATGTCTGACTTTTAGAAAAACATTGGGAAAGGTCAAGAAAACTTGGTTATGTTCAGCGGGATGTGGGTCAACAAGAAAAGATGTCCAGAAATTCCTGCAAGTCAGCGCAGCGTCTCCGTGGTTATGATACATGGCATCAAATTGCTCGGCACATCAGGAGGGAAACTGTCGAGCAGTTTTGGTGACATGTGGCCGGCGTGTCCTTGTGGATAACTGAGCACCAGGTCTTTATTTGCCAAGCAGCCGAGAGGTCTTGTGCTCTTCATTACTCCTGCTTGGCGTGGAGCCAGCAGGTTTGAGAGCACGCACTGCAGCTGTCTCCGCTCTTACTATGTTTGTGTGAATTAGTAGTTACAAATCAAACGTGTTTATGTTTTCACTGGTCGGAATCTAGTTATGTCTTTCCTCAAACTGTAGTTTTTTAGCTTTAGCAACAAGGTAACATCTCTTTGAATGTTTGAATAGCTGTAACCAAGATGCTTTATCTGACCCCGGGTCAGAATAGAGAAGACTTGACGGTTGTAACCATAGACTGTGTATATAAAGGTTGTAACAAGACTAACAATCTACAGCCATACTTTCTGCTCTGTGAGGATGTACACGCTGTTAGCTAAAGCTAGCATATGCTAATGTGAAGATGTTTATCTTGTTGAATGTTTACAATTTCCACCATCTTAGTTTGATGTTAACACACTAACAGTTAGCTTATTAGCACTAAACACAACCTTAAAGGGATTTCATAATTTTGGCTATAAACCAAAGTATTACAGAAATTGAAATTCCTATCTGATGGTTGTTATAAATGAGTAGAACATTGATCAATCATCATGATTCATCCTCACAAGAACATGAATGTCTGCACAGAATGTAATCCATGTGGTTCTTAAGATAACATTGCTATGCCTAGATTTCTACTGCTAGCTTGACTTAAACCAGCCCCCAAATATTCTTTAGAAGTTTTTTCCCCACATTAGTTCTTCCCTTGGCTCAATGTGATGCGCTCAACCCTCCTCATCAATGGTGTTCATGACAGCTGACCTCTGTGTATTTGTATCTGTGATATAGAGGCAGGGCAGATGGTAGCAACAGAATCGCACACATCTCTGACAATACTGGTGGAAATACTGCAGCTGGAGAGCTGTGTGGAATCATGTCTGCAGTCGGAGAGCCAGGGAGGGAAAGTCTGCCGCTGATGGTTATCGGGATGATGGAGGCAGTGTATGTTAGAGTTTGACATGAACTCCACATGCTGTAAATCTCACCTGTCATGGGAACAACATGCAGTCTGACTTACACTTATGAGGGTTTAACAAAGAAGGCCTGTTTCTGCTCTTTACCCATGATGACCAAGCCAGTCCTCCAAACCACAAAAGGCCCCTCACACCTCTCACCCCCGTCATTGTAAACACCCCCCTCTAATCACTCCTCTTTAGGTCTTTAGAGGAAAGCCGATGCTGAATAGGAAGGAAGGGCAGACGAAAAGGTCTGAATACACTAATCCTGGCAAATTATGTTCTCCATTTCAAACATCACACTCTCACGGGACCATTGTATCAACAATATCATGAAAACTTTTGGTGTTTAGCCTAACTGATACAGTGCATTGTGCTTTCCTTAAAAAATGGTGACCTTACATCATTAACCATATCCCGGGGCAGTAGGTTAGGTCATAACAGTGGGAAATTGTTCCCTTCATAGATGTTATGTCCTCTAGCTGCTAATATGTAACAGTTCTTGTCAGAGCCGGTTTGTCCTGGTTGTTGCTGTAGGGATTTTCATATAATGTGAAAGACGGAAGTATTCATCTCTTTGTATTCAGTGACATTTGTTGGGCATGTCTTAGTATTTGGGTACCATGTTATGTTCTATCTCTAAGAAAATGTGCTTAAGGCCAGTATAAAAAGCAGAAACCTCTTTGCGAAGACTTAACTCAAATGTTTAATGTAAAACTCACCATGTCCCCTCTCCTTGTCCACAGTACTCTCTGACGGAGGCCAAACTCTGAGGTGGAGGAGGTTGTAAAGAGGCCCTGAAGGAGCCTCCCCCCCCTCCCTACCTGACCAGACGGACGCATCGGACAGCCATGGCTCCTCGGAAACGTGTCGGCGGCGGCCGCGGTGGCCTCTCCTTCATCTTCTGCTGTTTTAACAGCAGCGATCACCCGGAGATCACCTACAGGCTGAGGGAGGACTTCGCCCTGCAGGCCATGGAGCCCTCACTGCCGATGCCCGGATACGACGAGCTGGACGGCATGTTCTCCGAGTTGGTGGTAAGACTTTTTTTCTATTCTTTTATATCACTTTGCTGCTGTGAATACTCACACGATCACCAAACGTTTATTAATCTCCAGCTGAAAATAGAACCCATCAAATGTTTGTGTAATGTTTACAAAAAACTAAAGTGCCCTAGACATTTTTACAGTTAGTTTAACAAGGTTTATGTTTCGATTTAGTTGGAGACAAGCCATCAAACACTTGAATTAAATATTTGTGTTTAAACATTCATGTTAAACATCTTGCATGACACTTCAAAAACGTATGAAGATGTCTTCTAAATATAATCTTACCACATTGTTTACTTGCTCATTTAAGACATTCCCAAACTAACCTCCTCCCAGTTTACACTATCTTGTGAGCACCGGGGCCGAGCAACTATTCTTTCTTTTGTCTTATTGTCACTTCTAATTTGTCGTGCTCTCCTCTCGCTCCTGCCCCCGTTCCCCCCTTCGTGGTTGCCACAGTAATCTAAGCATGACATTTTTGCACATCAATGGACCTCATTCAGGAACTTTTAGTGTATCGACCTCCTCCGTCTGCTAATTGCTTGTTTTGTCTCCCACCCTTTATGAAGACATAATTGAGTGAGTTGAGTGTGACTACAAGGAGGCTTTCAGTTGCTCAGTTTACCCCAAAACAGCCACATGCTTTCTCTTCGTGCCAGTATGAGCCACCATGTGCGTGTATAATCAGGATTTGCTTGCTGGAAAAAGACTTTGTGGAATAAGTTGGGGCCCACGATCAATTAACCTTGACCTTTGAACTTGAGATTCATTGGGGAAAGTTCTCCAGGAAGACCTGCCTGTCCAGGTGAAGCTTCATTTCCCTTCCTACATTATAAACAACAAATCTGTTGCAGCATTACAATAAGCAATACAAACATGAATTAGTTTCCGTTTCCCTGTCAGAGATCAATAGGAGTCAACACAACCATTAATCATTGCACATATTGATTCCCAGGGCTTAATGGCTTTAGCAAAGAACATCTAGGAGAATAGTCGGGCTGAAACATTTTGCCATCAATCTGTTGGTTAAACCACATGAACTGAATCCCCATTGAGAATAAACCTGTGTTCACACACTTCCTATTGTATTGTCCCTGATGTATTTCCTGAAAACCCTTCTTGTGATTTTCCACATGAAGCTCATTAAACCATAATTGCTTTAGGATTTGGCTAATGTGGATTAACACATGAAACGCCACCAGAGTTAAACTTTCAGCGCAAATCTATAATGACCGTGCTGGGATGTAGAATGCTTCAAATGTTGATATCCAACCACCATTTTAAGGTTCTTTTTTCTTCTTGAATTATACCTTGTTAATATGTTTTCTCTGGTATTCATCCTTCCCAGCAGCACCCTTTGTGTGCCTCCGTGTATCGTCGGTTATACAATGTGACGCATGTTGTCTCCAGATGTTTGTTACCACATGTTGAGCAGACAGGCCACGCCTTATCTCTTTTCCCATTACTCACACGTTTAAAGCCTGCAAGACATCTGATTTGACTTTGTCATATTGAAGGTGACTATGAGAACACCCGGTGATATAGACCTGATCATAAAGAGATTTAGCTCGAACCTATTTCAAACGTACAGCAGAGCTCTGGAGAAACTCTTCCGGGCACATGTTTTTGTATTTGGGGAAAAACAGAATTGATTTATGTGGATATTTTGTTACAGCATGAGGATTTGATAGCTTGTCTGTACTCTGTGAGCTGAGGATGATTTTCATTTTGTATACATTGAATAGTATCTTATCCACACAAGCACAACTATTCAATTAATCGGCAACCATTTTCACAATTGATTGATAGGTTTTTATAATTCTTAATAATCTCCAAATAAATATGAGACAATGTATCCTGGTGTATTAATCTTTTTATGACTTTGAGTCGTAGACAAAACAAGACATTGGAGTACATTTCTGACTTTTTATACACCAAACGACTCATCAATATATCCAGAAAATAATCGACAAGTAAATCAACAATAAAATAAATCTGTAGTTGCAGCCCTACATTTATCAACAAATGATTTTGAAGACATAATATGTGAATTGTTTCCTTTTCCTCTGAACCCTTCTCACCCACATTTCTTAACATTAGTTTTCTTTTTTCCTCCATTTTATAGGACGAGCTCGACCTTTCAGAGAAACACAGGGAAGCCATGTTCGCTCTGCCTGCAGAGAAGAAATGGCAAATCTACTGCAGCAAAAAGAAGGTAAGAGACCCACTGCTTTATGTCAAACTCCACAACATCCTCCACAAGCTTGCTGCAGACCAGCTGAATAATATCCGCTGATATCCTGCCAAGTTTGTGTAATCGCCTCGCTCATTGATTTGTTGATACCTGATGCTGTGAGTTTTCTAAAAACAGACCACACAACCATGTACCTCTGTATTGCTCTTCTCACAACAGGCAGGAAAGTGTTTGAAATGTGGTTCTGTGTCATTTCCATCTGTAAAAAACACCAATTGACCATTTATAAACACATTTCTAACCTGTTTTACCTTGAATCTTTTTAAGAGATGTGTTGTTTTCACATAAATGTAGCAGCATGCTGTAGAACTAAACCTCCTATGGTGTACTGTAATGGAAAATATCCTATTAGTAAACAAATGATACGCAGAGGATTACTTACACATGTCAACTCTAGCACCAAGAGCACTTCCTAAAGACTGTATTCCCCTGTCTGTTACGGCCCGTCCACAGAGCAGCTTTAAAAAAAAAAAAAATATCTTGGAGGTGGGCGTGTCTGAAAGCTTGGGGATTTTTTGCGAACAACGCGACCAACAACCAATCACATGAATATCCCGCCCGGACATACAAAGCAATAGCAATGTTAAAACTAAGTAAACTGGATATAAACTCCCCAAACAGGCGAAAACCTACCAGTTTCACACACTGTCTCTGCCACCTCCCTCCATGCCTGGTTCCTCTGGTTTGTATCCCGGTAAATAGTTCTCGTCGTAAAGAACCGGGTGATTTGCTACCGTAATTTCTCGTTTGGAATATGTCTCTCCCAGCTTACACGTGGTTTGATTGGCTAGCCCTTGTACTGTCAGATTTGCATAAACGGGATTTGATTGGCTGACGCTTCCAGCTGAGCTTCAAAAGTTGAACATTGCTCAACTTTTGAATCCTAAAAATCCTGAAAATCCTGGAAATCTTCGCTTTGCTTCCCCACAATGCAGTTCGGCGAAAAGCGAGGCAAAGTGACGTCACCCCCATTCAAAGTCAATGGGCAGAGAAGCGTCGGAAGCGTTGGAAGATTTTTTTAAAGCTGCTGTGTGGACGGGGCGTTACTTATCTCTACCCTTTCTAAAAAAATAAGTCTGCGCTGCTTCTTCAAAGCTCCCCCATGAATAATAACTCACCCAAGTGGATGTTACACAAGGTGGATATAAAAATAGTGATATGTAGAGGGAGTGACACACACCTTAAATCCAGCCTGTTCCATTAGATGATCCAAAGAAGGCTGTGTCATGAATTATGAGTAATGAAATATAAGACTAAAAAGACTCTTATTTCGTATTCAGAGTGTGTTTTCTCCCCCTGTCTCATTGTTCTATTGTCCTCCCTAGATTAAAGAGTTTGAATCCTGCGGCCTCTCCTTGTAGATAATACACCCATCAAAGCATTGGTGTAGCCAAAACATTGTGTACTCCTCTGAGTCAAATTTAATTATGTCTCTCCTGCATGATGTAAGGTCTGTCAGCTGTCCCTCCTTTCCCCTATAAATTAATTCCTCTCGTACATGCGGGAAAACGCAGATGCTTGGTCTAGTTTTGTAGCCTCCACTGCCCTCACATTTTAACAGCTCTGGTTCTGAAGGCCGTGCGTATGAGTGTGTGGGATATCCTGTCCTGACTCATATGCAGGCAGGGTAAACTTTACCTACGTCCGGTTAGCAACTGGAGGTGAGGAGTGTTGGGATTTGGTGTGAGGGATGGATAGTTTGCATGTCAGTGTGCAGAACAGCTACTCAGGAAACACAGCTGCAGAAATCCATCATACATGCAAGCTGTTGCAGCGTTTATCCATTTTTGTGTTGTTTGAATTAAGCAAAGTGAGTCTTTTACTGCGCTTTTGATTTCACATAATAGCTCCAAAGAATGTTTGGTCATCCCGAAAAATCTATGTATTATTAAAGAAATAGTTTAACATTTTGGTAAAAGATTAGGTGAGTTTAAGAAGTGTTGATAGGTCAATCTTTGGATGGAGCCATGCTAGCTTTTGCCTCTGCTAATCTTTATGCTAAGTTGTTTCCTTATATTTACCAGTCATGCGGGTGTTATAGATTTATTCTTGTAATTCTCAGGAAGAAAGCTTATTTCTCAAATAGCTAAACTTTTCTTTATAGATCCATAAGTATGTGCTGATATTGTGGATTTTAACCCCATTTTATTACAACATTTAAAATGTTTCATCACCAGCCACAATGAATTATTCCCTTTGCTGAAAACTCACTTTGTTTAAGTATTGATGCACATGCACTTATGAATTTGGCTGCGTCCAGTAGCCAGCAGCAACAAGACCAGAGAAAGTGGTGAAAATGCAAACGGCACGGTGTGTGCTCCCATTTCTCTACCGTGTCCCAATTAGTGGCCTCATTACGAGTCGTCTCGGAGCCAAGGTAGCCTCGTAAAGCATTTTGAAAATGAACCCCTGAATGTTCAGCTTTTCAGACATCAGGCAAGGTTGTTTCAGTGTTAGTGTGAAGGTGGAAACAAATCTTAATGTGCCGTATCGACCCGCAGACGGGGGGAGGAAGAAGTGACAGAAAGGCATCAATATTGCTGACTCTGCAGCAGGCTTTGGCCCCAACGTGTGTGTGTGTGTGTGTGTGTGTGTGTGTGTGTGTGTGTGTGTGTGTGTGTGTGTGTGTGTGTGTGTGTGTGTGTGTGTGTGTGTGTGTGTGTGTGTGTGTGTGTGTGTGTGTGTGTGTGTGTGTGTGCAAAGGAAGCGGCCGGTTGTCCAATGCAAACAGGAAGGCTCCGCTGCCACAGGTGCAGCTTTTGTGTGTCTAGTAGCGGGGATGATGATGATGATGATGAGGAGGAAGGTGGGGTCATAAACAGGGCGCTCTGGGCGATGAGCAGGCTTTTTTTTGCCAGGGGCTGGTTGGCTTCAGAAGTCGGGCCTGGGGAGATAAGTCAGTCGGAGCAGCAAAGCTTCAGCTGTTTGCTTTGGCCGGGCACCTGAGCCGATGAAATCACGCTGCTGAGCTTCCTCCTCCTCCAACAGGCAGATTTACTGATCCGGTTGTTAGCAGAGATTTTTGCAGTTAGGCTTCAAATTTCACCCGAATAATAAACCCCTTTCATTTGTGAGAGGACAGAGCTGTAACGTCTCTTTCAAGCAACCTCCAAATAACTTGTCTCCCTGATGTGCCTTTGATGTTCACTTTCTCGAATGTGGAAAAAATAAACCCCAAGAAAAATACACTCCCAGCTTTTCTCTCTCATCATGACCCTAAATAAACCATCAGCGTTTGAAGAGGGCTGACTTCCGAGGTGAAAGATGGACTTTTTAAGATGCAAAAGGAAGTGGTTTTCACCTCTCAGCTGCTCCTCGAATGGACTGAACTTCTTCCAGCACCCTGTTGGTCAGGCTGGCAGCAGCCATGAGAGAAACAGATCTGCTCTCAGACCAGCCAAGGCCCACAGCTTCTATCAGAGCCAAACTCTACAGGCCGCTTTATTAACTGACGCCCAATTAGTTTCTGATGGTCACAGCTCACTTGTGCTTAATGGAGCTAAAGTTCAAATGAAAGCTGGGGCCCTTTTATGTGCAAGCCAAGTTCGCGGTCAAGCCCTTTTACTCCTCTGTTTTTCCATTGAGGTAGAAAACTAAATCATGTCAGAAATGGCGTTTTTTTCCTCCACTTGATATACAAACGTGCCTGTCAGGGGATTAATCTCTGCCATGTCCTTAATCCGCAGTTTAAACTCTCATTTGCTAATCTCAAGATTTTCTCAAGCAGCTGTGCTCTCTTTTCTGCGCTCCTCGCCTCCTGCTGAAACTCAGTGAAGCGCTCCTTAATAAAATAGGATATCCGTGCCGCCCTACTTTGAGTTCCTGCTCCATCTTTTGGCTTCTGGCTATTTACTCCCCGGACCTTGTGTTCCCCGTGTGTTTGTATGTTTCATGTCTCTCAAAGTCAATGGGTGGAAAATGCATGCAAAACATGTGATCCAAATAACATGTTGTCCACCCATGTGACTTTATTAAATGTCAAAACAACAATTTGATGTAATGTTTTTAACTTCCAAACACTTAATATTCATATGTCAAAACACATTTTCTTTCTAATTGACTTATCTTGTTGTTTCAATTATCATTCTTGAAAAACAATGCCTTCAATGATCACTGCACAGCGTCGTTTATGCCTGTTATTCTCTTTTCTTCCAGGAACAAGAAGAAAACAAAAGTGCAACTAGTTGGCCCGAATACTACATTGATCAGCTTAACTCAATGGCAGCTGTAAGTAATAACATTAACTACAACAAATAACATTACTTTTCAGTTCACTTATTTCCTCTTTTTTATTGTGTTGGCTTTAAATTGTCAGGCTTCAGACTCTTCATGATGTCTAATCTTTTTCCGACAGAGAACGACTCTCCTCGCTCTGGAGAAAGAAGACGAGGAGGAGAGGAACAAAACCATCGAGAGCTTGAAGACGGCTCTGAGGACACAACCTATGAGGTGGACAAATACTTTATCTCCTTCGTGTCCTTCACACAAAACCTCACCCGTCAGCACATCTCCTCTCATTTGACCTCCTCTCACCCTGCCTTTGACTCCTTATAGTTCCTCCCAGCACAGTCACTGCCATTTTAGTTAAAGATTTTTGTATTGACGGGAATGTGCATCAAAGCATTTCCATACCGAGAACCTTTACAAAGCAAATGTTATGAGTTATTCATGACATTTAATTAAAATGATTCGGGACTAGCAGAAGGAAAAACAGAGTACACAAATAAAAACATATTTAGCTATTTGTTTTATGAGACGACAGTATACTTATATTTCTAATCAAACTAGTTTTCCAAACTGATACGATTTCTCTTCTCTCCCCTCAGGTTCGTGACGCGCTTCATTGACCTGGACGGTCTGACATGTATCCTAAACTTCCTGAAGAGCATGGACTACGAGACCACCGAATCGCAGATCCACACGTCTCTGATTGGCTGCATCAAAGCGCTGATGAACAACTCGCAGGGCCGCGCCCACGTCCTCTCTCACACCGAGAGCATCAACATCATCGCTCAGAGCCTGGCCACGGAGAACATCAAGACCAAGGTGGCCGTGTTGGAGATAATGGGCGCCGTGTGCCTGGTGCCCGGCGGACACAAGAAGATCCTGGAGGCCATGCTGCATTACCAACGCTTCACCTGCGAGAGGACGCGGTTTCAGGTGGGTGGGAGCAAGCCAGGTGCTGAGTTATGGTTAGAAAGTAGTTTAAAAGCAACGTTGGGTGAAGATATTTAACTCCTGTAATGACCTGTCATCCTGCAGACTCTTATAAACGATCTGGACCGGAGTACGGGGCGATACAGAGATGAGGTCAACCTGAAAACAGCCATCATGTCCTTTATCAACGCTGTGCTGAGTCAAGGCGCTGGAGAGGTGAGTTATACACATTAGACAGCTTTTATGATTCTCTTCCCGTCCGTAGGTCATATTGTCCCTAAGCCACTCTTTCATGCTATACTTTCTGCTAATTCATATCTTTTTCATCACATACAGACAAGTTTGGAATTCCGTATCCACCTACGATATGAGTTTCTCATGTTGGGGATCCAACCTGTGATCGATAAGCTGCGCTCTCATGAAAACTCCACGCTAGACAGGTGAGATAAATATGATGTCTCCACCTGACGCCGATTACCGTTTATTGGTCAGAATAATAACAACATAGAATTAGAAAAAAATAAGGGATACATTTGGAAGATCTTTATTTTTTTTATTTTTTTTACATTACGAACTTAAAGAAAATAACATTAGACCATTACTCAAATAGATAAATAATTAAACCAAATGTTAAATATTTAAATACTTATTAAAAACGTAGCTACATAAATAGATAGCGTATGTTGTTATCTTGTTACCCTTGTATCTTGCAATACTTAAGACATGTCTTCATTTGTCATAAAGTGAAATATAATAATATAATCAAATGCCTTCCATTTACCTTTACAAATATCAGTGATCTTCTCTAATGAGTCTCCGCATATCTTAAAAGATACAAGAAACATATGAGACACTAAGCATTGAGAAAGCAGATTTTAATTAAAGCATTTCCTTTTATTGGGATAATATTTTCCGTTGTATAAACGACTGGTAAAAACAACTTAGTGTTAAGATTGTTTTGCGTTTGATACATAACTCCAAAATGGTTTAATCCCCCCCCCCAAACTCCCAAAGGCACATTTGTGAGATTTGCATTCAGAAATAGTTTTTTCTAAATGTACATATCCATAAAAAAATGTAATCATGCAAAAACCAGCCGATCCTACCTACAACACAAACTCTATTTCAACTCTAGTTTCCAGAGAGATCTTAAAGTAAATCTGTGGGTATATAAATGCATCACACTTGCCTCTCTAATCCATCCCTCAGGCATTTAGACTACTTTGAGATGCTGCGGAACGAGGATGAGCTGGCTCTGTCCAAACGTTATGAGTCGGTAAGGAAACCCTCTCCTGACCTGATTCCTGCATATTATTTCTGACTGTGAAATATTCAGCATAAGCATTTATGGGACTTGTTGTTTCCTTTCTTCTCTTCCAGGTACATATAGATACCAAAAGTGCCACCCAAGTTTTTGATCTCATCCGCAAGAAGATGAACCACACAGACGCACACCCGCACTTTATGTCTGTCCTGCACCACTGTCTCCTCATGCCACGTAAGAGATTTCTAATCATGACTAGATTATGAAATTGAAATGTTTAGACTCATAGTCACACTTCCAAATACTTTCTGCTGTAAAAGCGATTTGTGTTTAAAATATACTGAAATATAACGAGGCTCCAGGTAGTATTAGTCCTCCTGGTTTCAGGCCAGAAAGATAAGAACTTGTTGACTTTTTCCAGATTAGTCACTCCAGAAAAAAGGACATTCCCGAAGTGAAGGCTCTATTTTCTCACAGTTGAAGACTGTTAATATTTTGAATTCAATTTATTTGAATACCTTTTTTTTATGCAAAAGAAAATGCATCAAGGCAGATTACAATGAGCTAGTTTGTCTTGAAAAACAAAAGGTCACCAAAGGACAAAGGAGTCTTTTTCTTCAACACTTACCTCCTCCTATAAGTGGCTTTTTAATGAGACCACCCCCCGTCACTTCCTTGAGGCATTAAGAGCATAATAACCACTTAAGCCTCAAATCCATGTGTGGCCATTATGAGTTAATAAAGTGCTAGCTTGTGATGGCACTTCATTAGAAAGAGGAAATTACTGAGCATGATGTTATCCTTGTAAAGAGGCATATCAGGATGTTTTTTATCACTTATGTATCTTAGTGTGTTTTTTCAAGCTAAATAGCATCACTAAAGTAAACATGTTGCCCCCTATTATGGATGCAGACTAACTAATCAGTAACACTGTAATGTGTAAACATGCTGTAACCATAGGTGTCTTTATGTTCTCATGAGCAGCTAGAATACTCATTTTGAACAATAATAAAAAGTCATTCATATTCAAACCATTGCTGTGGATCCACATGTTTCTGTACTTTCTGAGATATAATAGAGATTCGATCCCTCTGCTCTTTAATGTGACCGTTCATTCGTCTCTCCTCAGACAAGAGAAGCGGTAACACGGTGCAGTACTGGCTGCTGTTGGACCGCATCGTCCAGCAGATGGTCCTGCAGAACGACAAAGGTCACGACCCCGACGTCGCACCACTGGAGAACTTCAACGTGAAGAACGTAGTCCGGATGTGAGTGCCTCTGAAACAGCCCATCGAGTGCTCGGCTGCCAGATTAAACAATGTAGAACAAATTGATTTTACAAGACATTAAAAGCCACATAGCTCAACGGTGCTGGCTTAAAAATAACTTTCAAAGTTCAGAGGAACAATGACTGGAGCTGTTCACTGAATATGTGTCATCCTCTCTGCAGGCTGGTTAATGAGAATGAGGTCAAACAGTGGAAAGAGCAGGCAGAGAAAATGAGAAAAGGTTTGTAACACTTAAATATATCTACCTGAAATAGATTAACATGTCAAATAAAATCATGGATTTAGTCAACTCTTTATGGCGAACATAACTTTGACTTTTCCCCCACAGAGCACCACGAGCTGCAGCAGAAGTTTGATAAGAAGGAGCGAGAATGTGATGCAAAGACTCAGGAGAAGGAGGACATGATGCAGACGCTGAACAAGATGAAAGAGAAGCTGGAGAAGGAGAGCACGGAGCACAAGAACGTCAAACAGCACGTGTCCGAACTCACCGCCCGCCTGCACGACCTCAGCCTCGTACGTTCCCCTTCGTATTCACTGAGCCACTTTATTATATACACATGATGGTAAAGCCTGTAAATAAAACCAAAACAACCATCACTGAGTTCACATAATAGACAACGACCCAGATCAGAGTCAAAGTCAACTTTAGTGTTAATCCTTTGTGTGTGTGGTACAGACAGGCTGATGGAAATTCTGATTCTCACCATCCCAAAGAATACAAAAATATAAGAAATATATACACACACATACTAACTTAGACATAGACACATATACACACATTACGAGGTATAAATAAAAAGAAGGAACAGGAAATATACAAATATAACGGTCACTGGTGTGATGGAAATTAATTTTAATATATTACAACAGTACAAATATATACAGTATTGCAAACAGCTGTCCATAGCAGATAAAAAGCAGATATCCAAAATTAGTGTGTATTATTTCTTTCATTTTGGATATAGATTTTACATTGCTGTTGTCTGAAATAGTAGCACTTTTTCCCCTTTATTGTAATTTCCTAGGTTTTATATTTCGACATTGACAATCTTTAACATGTTTAAATGATTTTAAATGTATGACGCATTTTCTCCTGTAATATTAGCAACATGTTCACATTGTGTAACTCTCTCTCTGCAGAGACAGGCAGCGGTGGTTCCTGGAGGTCCTCCGCTCCCCCCCGCGCCGCGCCCCGGTGGTCCCATGCCTCCCACCAGCCCCCCTAACCAGCTTTTTTCTGCGGGGCCCTGTGCGGCCGCACCTCCCCCCTCGGGGCATGATGGCCTCCTCCCCTCCCCACCCTCTCCGGGTGGACGCCCCCGCCTCCTACCTGGACGCCATGCATGGGGCATCCCACCCCCCGCCTGGGAGGCCCTGGGACCTCCCCTGAAGCACGAAGAACATCCCCCCAGCGCAGCCAACCTGGCGCCTCAAGTCCTTCAATGGTCCAAGTTAAAGCTTGAGGTATGGACTGGATGTGTAATGATTTAAATGACGTAATGTTTGTTTACAACAGCCCAGATATTCATGTGTTGTTGTCCTCTGCTCAGAATAAGCCTGGAGGCGCAGGCTGGTGGGATGGATTGTGTACGACGCCAAGGTCTTTAAAATCCCTGATCCTGGACCCGACATTGAGAAGACCGTTCTCCGCCTATCAGAGGCAGCAGGTACTGAGGGGTGCCAAGCAAGCTTCCTCCTTCGCACCAGCAACACACGGTCTTCGTATCAGAGGGCGGGGGCGGCTGGTTCATTGGCTCAGGGGGCTCCTCTGCTTGTATTGTTGGATTTAGAATTGGCTTGAGATTTTCTGCAAATTCCCCCTGTTTTGCCAACTTTTATAAATTCTGAAGCTAAGCTGGGGAAGGGGAAGAGGGGAGAGGTCAAGTAAACAAAACTAAAGCCAGCTTAGTCCCATAGAGTAGAGGGGGGGGGAAATCGCCCAGATATCATTTGGGGGTTATCGATGCCAAAATGTTCTGCTTGAATCCTTAAAACGCTTTTTTCCATTGAATGGAATGTATTTTTGTTTTGGTTTGGATCATTTGGCCATATGTGATTGAAAATGGCATGAGTGAGCTGCTCCCAGAATTGGTCGTCTTTTTAAAAAAAAAGGGGGGGGGGTGTTTGGGCAATGATTTTACGTTCTAGATATTCAACAAATCAAAGTAGTGTCTTTATAGTTGGCAAACCAGTGAAGAGCATCTGTCTTTAAAATGTACAGAAGCCCATGAACAACCCCTATAATAAGATGAAAAACCAAAATAATGAATAATTGGCAAAATTGTCCCTCTTTCACAAAACACAAAGACTACATTATAGATCCTCCATGTTGAGCGCTGAATAGTCTCAAACAGAAGTATCGATTTATTAACGTGCACAGCATGTGAACTATTGGCACGTATTCGATCAACCCCCGAAACACCCCACCTCACGTCTCACTGCTGCTCACTTCATTACTCCCGTCGTCGTCTAAGTGAGCGAATGATCTGTGATTGCATCTGGCTGTTTGTTTTGATGGCTGGCAATCACGTAACTGCTTTTACCTTATTCTAATGAGTGCTTACATCTTCCCTGCTTCCTGCCTGCATTTTAAGGACTTCTTTTTTGGACTCAATGAACAGCAAACAGGTTGAGTCCTGCTTTAGCCAGTACAGTAGAATTATGTGTGTCCACTCCCTTAGACTATGTATGCGTCATGTACTATTGTTCCGTGTTCAGTGGATGTGTCGTCCAATAGATTGTACGGTCTGTGATTTGTGTGGGATGTTTGCATTGTACTCAACAT